AATCGGGCAAAATTTTCAATATTTAAGAATTTTTTGAGCACAAAATTTTTTAATAAAAATTTGTTGAAAAAATTTTTCGAAAAATTTTTCGGGAAAAATTTTTTTCAAAAAAAATTTTTTTGATTGAATTTTAAGCATAATAATCTTTTGAAGTGCTCTTAAGCTGTAATTTAGATGCTAAATTAGTATTTTTTACTTGAAATATTGATTTTTAAAGCAAATTTTCATTATTTTTGCTGCATATTTAGTGCATATTTTGGCAAATTTGGCATATTTTGGTAAATATTTTGGACTTTTTCTGTGCATATAGATGCGCATATTTTGGGATTTTCCGTGCATATTTTGCCACTCCCTAATGATAAATAATAAAGCATCAAAAACTATCAATATTATTCTATATCTACATTAAGGACAGCCATCTTTTAACACATGGTTATGTGCTCAAGAACAAGGATCAGCGTCTGGAATTCCTGGTAAATTCGAAAATTTCTATTTAATTATTAGGAAGTTTTTAAATTCATTTTACTGTAAAATATTCTTTCTTAAACTAGATTTATTTAAAACATAAATTTTATCTATATAAGGAGGTCAAATCATTGAACATGGTAACACACAAGAACGCCGTGCAGGCAGACGCGGGAGAGGACGGAACACTCGTGGTAGTAGCTCAGGCACAATAAATGCATTCTCTAATTTATCTATATCATCTTTATTATACAGGCTCTAGCATTTTGAAATCAGATCCGTCTTCGCAACCTCAAGGGGGTAATGACAATTTTGATTGAGAGCCTAGAGGAGGGCGCGGAAGTTGACATGATGAGAACATTTTCATTGGTTTTAATTTAAAAATCAAAAATTATTTCAATGTTATCGAATTCCATTGACATAATTAGATTAAGTAGACATCGCAGCTTTTTAGTAAAAATTATTGAGATTGTAATAATAATAGATTCAAAAATTACTAAAAAGTTGTATGTAAATATCTGTCACTAATTTTGAAAACATATAACAATTAAAACATTTCAATGGAATTCGATAATTATTCAAAAAAATTTTTTCAAGTTCAACGGAATTATATCCCAAAGGTTAATCCTTAGCAGATTATTAACTAACTATATATCATGATTAAGAGAAATACTCTAAAATATAGGCAAAATCGGTATATAAATCGGTATATAAAATATATGTAAGTAAAAAACCTAGTTGAAAAATTAAAATCTGCATGGGAATAACCAACATACGAAACATTCATTTTAGCAAGAATTCACAGATATAGAAGAAACAATTAAATACAGTAGTCGACATAAAGATAGGGACAAGAGTTTTCAAAAAATTTTCTCGATTTTCAAAAAATCATATCTCTGGACCGGACAAAGATATTTTTAAGCGGTTTTGTGGAAAATACTCACAAAAATATGCTTTATCAAATGGGTTTGTCAAATTTTTTCAGAAAAATTTTTCCGAGGATATGGGATTTGGTATATCCGGTAAATCCGGATTATCTCGGACAATTTTCGATTTTATGAAAAATGCAGAAACATGTCAACTGAGATACGAATAGCTTTCGATTGATATATAGAACGTATTTTTTGAATGAAAAATTAAGAATTTAAATTTAAATTACTCTTGTCCCTATCTTTATGTCGACTACTGTACATTAGATATTTTTGTTTATTCTTTGATTTGTTACAACATACATTTTATTTAAAGATAAATTTGTTATTTTCTTAATTTTTTTTAATAATGTCTGTAGTTTGAAATAATGTCTGTAGTTTGAATTAATCTGTAGTTTGAATTCTAGTAGTTATAAGGACTTGTAAGCTTCAATTTGAGTTTTAAATTCAATCCTTTATACTCCACTACTTAATATGCTAATACACTACCAAACAAATCAGTTTATATACTCCACTGCCTAATCCACATATATCACTTAATCGCCGACTAATTTTCGGTTCGGTTCGGTTAACCTAATAATTTCAGTTCGGTTTCGGTTAACTGAATGTTTCGGCTCGGTTTTTCGGTGTTAACCGATAATTTGGTGAAACCGACAATCCTAATGTATAGTATTATTTCGAAGAATTTATGTTTATAAATTTCAAAAATCCTTCAAAATATTATTGGTGAATATATGCATATAATATCAATTCTTGCAGTTTATTAACAATTCTCTCAGTCATCGTCCTAAAAATTTTGGGAATGAAATCAATTATAGAAGTTAAAATAATTAAAATCGACTTCGTCTTCATCGTAAGGTGCTGATGTCGATGGAGGCTGAGTTGACGTCGTTGGAGCTGCCGTCGTTGTAGGCTGCGGCAAAAAAGAATGAAATATTAAAAATATTAATCAAAAGTAGAGGGATATAAAGGGATCTGTACGGATTTAGTGTATTTTAGGGTAGTTGAAGGAAGACATTTATAAAAATTTCTTTACTCAACCGAATATTCAAAATTTTGGATATAATGCAGTTAAGGATTCAGATATCCGAGAATTTCACTAAATCTGTCAGCCCTATTTTAAACTCCGAGTCCTATAGTAAAATGGTCAGTTTACTAGCCCATTAAGTAGCCAGTAATTTTTCAAATTTTTGACTTCGACATCGATACTTTAGGTTATTTTTCTTTGGATTTTCGATTTCGAAGACATTAATTATTTTATTATTAAAAATTTAATTATTAAAGATTTCATTATTAAAGAAATTAATTATTAAAAATTAATTTAGATTTCAATATTTTTGGATATATTTCGATTTTCGAGTTCTGATTCGATTTAGAATCCAACAAATTATATAATATCAATATGTATTTACCGGGTAACGAACACAGACATTGTTCACACATTCACTGTTATAACAAACTTTTTCGCCTGAATTAAAGTAAAATTTATCTTGAATTTAAAAATAATCTTATATACCTTTGAAAAATCCTCTACAATTTCCACCAGGACGCGCTTTTGCTACGCAAAGGGGAGTTACATGGGAGAGGTCACAGAACAAATATCTATTATTTAAAATTTATTTTCTTTAATTTTTCTTCCTACTTTGAGCCACAATCTGGCTTCTTCAGGCTACAAGTTGGCCTCGGAGCATATTCATACATATTGTCCGTATATTCGTTTCTGCATCCATCAATGTTTCTTATATACTAGAAAATATAATTATAATATACTTTATTATACAAAATGGGCAATTAATATCTTGATTTATTATATATGTATTTTCTCCTTTCTATGGAAATAGTATTCGATAAATCTGTCATGCCCAAAAAGAAATAGTGTTATATTTCTTCTCGTTCTCTCACTCTTATTTTGACCCCATATATTAATTTCTCCTCTCTTTATATTGTAAAACCCTCCCCATTTGATATTCGTTTTGTTGTTATTTTATTTAAAAGAGAAGTAAAGGAGTTTGTTTTGTGTTGTGTGAAATTATTAAGAAAAAAAGGGTACGGACATACCCCTTTAAGTCCTACATGGCGCTCCTGGGTGGACTCGAACAACCAGCCTTTCGGTTAACAGAAGTAAAGGAGTTTATTTTGTGTTGTGTGAAATTATTAAGAAAACGAAGTTATATCTCTGCGGTAAGTTGGGCTAGCGGTAAGTTGAGGTGTACCATTACATTAGGAGGTTTATCATATGCTCAATCTTCTTATTATGTGTGAATTACAGGAATCGGATTTATATGAATTTTCATATTTTTATCCCGGACTAATTTGGTCGTGAAGGGCAAGTAAAAGTTGTTCAAGCATAAGATAATAGAGTAAATTTTGAGTAGAGTTATAACCCAAACCTGAACAATGTTCCCGAATGATTTTTTCACATTTATCCCCGTCCCGAACTCCGTTATCTCCGTCCCCGAATGTAAAACCCAGTTCCCGACAAGAAAATTTTCGGGGGTTTCGAGATATAACACGATAACATACACATTTTTAGGGAAATTTTAGGGAAAAATCAGAAAATTTTTTTAATTCTCATCTTATGCCCTATCTCATGCCAATATTCATCTTAAACCCTATCTATTTTTTAAATAAAACAAATTACTGGAAATTGTGTCATTTTTTCATTTCTGAAGTGAATTTCTGTTTCACAAGCCTAAAATATAAATTTATATTTCAAAAACATAATTATTAGGGCTAGGATTATTTTCAAACTATTTTCATCGTTGCCATAAATTGCCTATTTTAACATTTTCCGGCTAAATACCCTATTTTGACTTTTTTCGGATTTAGATGCCTATTTTGGCAGTTTTTTGTGACTATATAGGCGCCTATTTTTAACTTTATGTTGCCTAAAAATCTTAGCTCTAATAATTATAAATTTTAAAAATATACATCATTATCAAGTGGGTACTGAATTGGCCTTTGAGAATAATTTTGTTTTGCTTTACGCCACTGTTCGAAAAGCTAGGAAAATTACAAAATTAAAATTTTATTTTTATTTATTTCTCACATAATCAACGAAACAGTGATGGTTGTAAAAAACAGGGTCGTTTGCTGATTCAGTTATATATGCCATATTTCCACCGATAAATGTGTGAGGACCACCATGAGCCAACTATAAATAATGACTATATATTTTTTTACCAAAATTTTACAAACTTCGGGATTTCCAGAATATACTTTACTAGAACACTTTCCTGGATCTGATATCGACGTATATGCAATGATATTTTCAATCTTAGTTTGACTCATTTGCCAATTAATGCTGTAATTATTTAATTACTTTCAGAAGGGATCGTTGGAGGAGTTCAGATATAATATTGTAAAGCCTGGATAATGCTATGCTGGATAATGCTATGCTGGAATAACTCTTATGGAATAACTTTTTTATTCCTCCGCTTATTCTTGTTCCGTCATTTGACTTCAGAAACAGATGTATGCTATTACTATTTTGATAGAGAAATCAGAATCAGAACCTTTGCTAATTTCTTCTATTCCCCCCCCCCCCTTTGTCGGGGACCAATCCTATGTTTTACCCATTGTGGAGGATACCAATTTATAAAATTACTATTCTTCTTTGTAGCAGCTTCCATGCCTACCTACGTCTCTTTGAATATAATCTGTATTCTAATAAAATAATTTTGAAATAGTGAATAATTTTTATTTTTGAAACCATTAATGTTTCCCAAGGTGAAAAAGGCCCATCAATAACTTGTCCAGTAGAATTTGTACTTCCAATGAACTAAAATGATTAAATTTGTTTTAATTTAACTCTGATTTGATGGTTTTATCAAATTATTTAATAATTACATCAGCGGTGAAGAAATAAGAATGAGCTGGTGTCGGTAAACGTCCATCCATTGTCGAATCCCAATAAGGTAAACAAACATCTGTCGATTTGAAAAGCTTGTATGAAGCTTCTCGCATCATTAATTCAAAACTCAAAATTTGTAGAAATTTTTGTAAAATTTTAATTTATTTCCCTACACTTTAAGCTTTTCTCTATGAAATACCAAAAATTGTGGGCCGCGGTGTGCCCCACCTTCGTCCCAGGCTTGTCGATGTAACAGTGCAGCGATGTCAAAATCTTTATTTGCTTTCATTTCTTTTATGGTTTTGAACTTAAATTTAAATATTTTAAGAATTTAAATAAAAAATATGAAATGTAAGGTTGTACCCCGTCCTTGAAGGGGGAATTTGAGTTAACGACCGGTTATTTAGGTGTTTGCAGCTTCACTTTATTCTAAGCGTGTGTTAGGTTCCAATTACCTTACGTTTTTATTTTCATGAAAACGATTTAAACTGAATTTATTATCAAAATTTTTTGAAAAAGCGAAAAAATGTTCCCCGTCGGTAACAACCTTACTGGAAGGTATGTTTTTAAATAATTTTGATATCATTAAACAATTTTGGTTTTAATTCATTTAATATATAATTTACATAAGCTTCTCTTTGTTCATCTGTCAATGTTCTAATCTCCTGCCTCCAACATTTTCTAAATGGTTTACCGTTTGGAAGTATACAACCATTTACAGTACCATCTTTTTTGCCTTTTTATTAAACATTTTTATTATCTCCTTTAATTCAAGTACCATTAACTGCAGGACAAAAACAGCTCAAATTTACACATCGTAATTCTGGTCTATTGGAAGGTAGTTCCCCTCTAGCTCCGCGTACTTTTCAAAAAAATTTCATTTTATTAAATTTAAAATAGACTTACAATCTGGGTCCTTAAATTTAAAATTAATTTTAAAATATTTTAAAAAATTAATATTATTTACCCATTTATTATACTTTATTTTGTCCAATTTTTCACAAAATTCTTTTAAATCTTTATCAATACCTTCGCAAATAGCCTTTACATTACAAAATAATGTTGATAATATTATATGATGTATTAAAATTATTAGACCCGATTTTGGTCGAAATGTTAATTTCATTTCTGAAAAAAATTTTTTTTGATTGTTTCAGTCAAGTGTAAAGACATGACTCATGAGTAAATGTTCTGTTTAAGATCTACCTTTATCACCTAAATAATATTATTACCCCCACCCCCTTATTATTATCCCTTTTCCCACATTTCTGAGACCACGAGACTTCCTGGGTGATAAGGAAGTGTCTATATACACACATACAAAAACTTGACTCAAAAAATTTAGAGAAAAAATAGAATGAAAAAAAAATTATTCCATCCTCTGGTTGGATGAAGGCACAGTCGGTTGTGCTTCGTGACTAATTCTATGATGGTTCTATTCCATACCACATCCAATAAAATCAAAAAGAATTTACTTAGCTTCAAAAATACAAGTTTGAGTATTTCACCTCTAACTCCTGTCAACTTAATCCTATGATTCTGATTTTTTGCCAGAAAATAGGCAACTCTCTTAGGATACTAGAAAAATATAATTTGAAGTCTGAAAACATTTAGTTGAATTTTAAAAAATATTTATATAATTTTACTCAAGGGGGGCTAATTATTTATGTTACACCCTAATATAACGGAAAATATTCCGGAAAAAGCTTAGTTAATTCACCAAAAATCTTTAGATTTTTGTTTATATTCGATCTGAAACAGACAACACTATCTCAATAAAATAAAATAGGCTAATAACAAATACAAAAAAATTATTTTAATAGAAATATTTTTAAGAAAATATTTTCGGAATTTTTATTTCTAATGGAAGTGTCTATCAAATAATAAAATTTAAATATATAATATGAGGAACTAAAATAAAATTTTTAACAAAATAATTAAAATGATAGTTACATCATTTTTAAATGTATATTTAAATTTTTGATATAAAAACTTCAAACAAAAATTTTTGAAAAATATTTTTTAAATTAACTCAAAGAATAAATGATCAAATAAAATGAAAAATGTTTTTAAAAATTTTTGTTTCCTAAAACAAACATACATGTCATTCTAAAGCGTATAATTTGTTTCCATTATTTTTTGAATTTTATTATTTCCTTGTTGTTGTCATCCACATAATAAATTTTTCTAAATTTTTATTTTCAGACAATTTTTTCATTTTTGTTATTTTATTATTAGGAACGGATCTTGAGTTTTAAAAACCTAAAATATGTATGTAAACCTCGGGTTTCGTTTCAAAGTGAAATGCCGACAACCTATTGAAGGGTCTGGTTGGAGGAGGGGTCCGTCCCTATAGACACCAGCCTATTGAAGGGGTTGCTATGGGGGAGGCGATAAAGGGGAAGTCCTTTCCTGGTGGCGTGTTCCAGATTAATTGTGGGAGGGAGCAAGGGAAACTAATTGGGTTTGGTGAGGGGGCCACCAAAACTTTCCGGGCTAAAAAGGAAACTCATTGCTGATGCTAGCCATAAGGGTGTATTAATTTAAATTATTCAATTATATTTTCTTCAAATTATGAACAAAAATTAACGGCGTATAATGCTACAAAAAGTTATAGTTTTAATCCTAATTCTTTAAAATATTCTTATGAAATTCAATGCCATCACCAAAACCTGGCTCCTCAAACACGAGTATCTTTAAAAAGCTTCTTAAATTATCTACAATAATAAAAATAATAATAATAATAAATTTATAGGAAGATGTTCTGCCCAGCGTGGCTTTTTTGGTCCTAAACGGCGTGGCTTTTTGGAACATTAAAAAAATTCTTTATAAAATCTATGAAACAAATGGCAACTTATTTTTTTAGAAATAAAGTCAAAAAATGGTGACTTAATAATTTAAAAATATGGACTCTAAATTAATAACAAAGAATTGAGCGAGAAACAAAGTCTGGTTTCCATTATAAAAACAATTTAAAAATTTTTTTAAAAATCAGACTCAAACGTATTTTTCTCACTTAGAGCAGATGCCTTCCTGTATAGCCCTCCCTGTATATTGACTTTTTTTGAAACACTTTTCCTTATTTCTGTCACATATTATGGCAATTTAGCAATGTATTTAGGTACCTATTTTAAGGTTTTTACAACTTAAAAATCAGTTCCCTAATAAAATAAAAAATGAAAAAATTGTCTACGAATAAAAATTTAGAAAAATATATGATGTGGATGACAACATGGAAATAATAAAATTAAAAATAAATTATGAAAAAGTTATACGTGTTAAAATGACATGTATGTTTTAGAATGAAAACATAAATTAAAGAAAACAACAATTTTTAACAACAAAAATTTTATAAATATTTCTAATTTGATTCGATCATTTATTTGTTTTATTAAATAATTTTATCATTGAATTTGTTACTATTTTATTTTATTGAGAGTAGGGTTGTCTATTTCGGACCGAACTGAATGTAAAGCATATAGCTATTAATTTCCTAAGGCTGTGCAGTAGGATGCTTGGTGTAATGGCTAACACATCAGTCCGGTCTACTGAAGATGCTGGTTCGCTCCCAGCCGCCGAATAACCTTTTGCACAAGCTAAAGGAGAGAAATAGCTATAGCCCACTGCTTTACTTGAACTAAAAATCAAAAGATTTTAGTTTCGGTTTGGTTTACCAAGAATTTGGTGAATAGGACAATACTAATTAAATGATATTTAGAGGCGGATTAACTAAGATTTTTGGAAAATTTTCGTTACAATTAGATGTGTTATGGAAATATTTATAGGCTGTGAGGCGGAACAGGACCTTAATATATAGGGCCAACACTATCCTATCTCCAAATTTGAAAAAATTTTTAAGGTTTAAATTTTTTGAATGCTCGCAGACAGACTAGGACACGGATACGGATTTTGGTATCTGTATCCGGATATTTACGGCGGATACAGACGGATACGGGCGGATATCCGCAGGCATTTTGGTATTTCCATGACCATGTCTGCTCGCAGGTAGGTCTCAAAAATATGGGGAAGGGGATAAAAATATTAATAACTTGTGCAGAAAGGTAGATAGCAAACAGGACATTTACCCAAGAGTGTCTTTATATGTCTTTATAATAAGCTAGCATTTAACACAATCTAAAAAATTTTTACAGAAATGAAATTAACATTTCGACCAAAATCGGGTCTAATAATTTTAATACATTATATAATATTATCAACATTATTTGGTAATGTAAAGGCTATTTGCGAAGGTATTGATGCAGCATTAAAGGATTTTTGTGTAGCTTTGGACGCTGTAAAGTATAATAAATGGGTAAATAATATTAATTTTTAAACTATTTTAAAATTAATTTTAAATTTAAGGACCCAGATTGTGAGTTTATTTTAAATTGAATAAAATAAAATTTTTTTGTAAAGTACGCGGAGCTAAAGGGGAACTACCTGCCAGCAGGCCAGAATTACGATGTGTAAATTTGAGCTGTTTTTGTCCTGCAGTTAATGGTAATTGAATTAAAGGAGATAATAAAAATGCTTAATAAAAAGGCAAAAGAGATGGTTCTGTAAATGGTTGTACACTTCCCAACAATAAACCACTTGAAAAATGTATTCGGCGTGAAATTAGAATGCTGTCAGATGAACAAAGAGAAGCTTATGTAAATTACAAATTTAATTAATTAAAACCAAAATTGTTCAAAAATATCAGAATTATTTTAAAAACACAACTTTCAGTGTAGGGTTGTTCACCGACGGGGAACATTTTTTCCGTCTTTTCAAAAAATTATGATATGTATTACTTGCAGCTTAGATTCGTTATCAAAGACCTAAAGTAATTAGAACCTAACACTCGCTTAGAATAAAATGTAGCCACCTAACCACCTAAGTAGCCACCTACCACCTAACCAACCGGTCTTAACTCAACTTTTATGAACGGGGGGGGGGGGGGTACAACCCTACATTTCATATTTTTTATTAAAATTCTAAAAATATATAAATTTAAGTTCAAAACCATAAAAGAAATGAAAGCAAATAACGATTTTGATATCATTGCATTACTACATTTACAAGCCTGGGAGGAAGGTGGGGCACATGGCGGCCCACAATTTTTGGTATTTCATAGAGAACTGCTTAAAGCGTAGGAAAATAAATTTAAAAAATTTTAAAAGAATTTTTACAATTTTTAAGTTTTGAATTATCGATGCGAGAAGCTTCATACAAACTTTTCCAATCGACCGATGTTTGTTTGGCTTATTGGGACTCGACCTTGGATGGACGTTTACCGACACCAAAGGATTCATATTTCTTTACCGCTGATGTAATTTTATTAGATAATTTAATAAAAAAGATCAGAATTAATTTTAATCATTCCATAACAAGATAAAAACGAACAAATCGGAATTTTAAAGCATATAGCTATTTAATTCCTGAGACTGTGCAGTAGGCGGCGTGGTGTAATGGATAGAAATCAGTCCGGTCTACTGAAGATGCTGGTTCGCACCAGCCGCCGATTAACCTTTTGCACATAGCTAAAGGATAGAAATAGCTATAGCGAAGCTTGCTTTACTAAATTGAATAAAGCAAATTTAATAATTTTAGTTCATTGGAAGTACAAATGCTAGTGGACAAGTGATTGATGGGCCTTTTTCACCTTGGGAAACATTAATGGTTTAAAAAATAAAAATATTTCAATATTTCGAAATTATTTTATTAGAATACAGATTATCTTGAAAGAGCGGTAGGTGTTGGTGGCACCTGCTACAAAGAAGAATAGTAATTATTAAATTATATCTCCAAGATTGGTAAAAATAAGGTTATTGATAGGGGGAGGAAGAAAGCAAATGTACAATAGTAGGGAGCAGGCTATGTACCGCGAGCCCAATGTACCGCCGAGCTATAACATCGTTTAAAATTGTCGAATCTGGGACGCCGTGGTATGGTTCGATACATCTTGACGAGCTAAGTCTGACAATACAAAGGCGTCACGGATTCGATAATTTTAAACGAACATTGAGGTGTACCCATTATAGTAAATCTTAACTCCTCCAACTATCCTTTCGGTAAGTAATTAAATAATTACAGCATTAATTGGCAAATGCAACAAACTAAGATTGAAAATATCATTGCATATACGGCGATACCAGATCCAGGAAAGTGTCCTAGCAAAGTATATTCTGGAAATCCCGAAGTTTGTAAAATTTTAATAAAAAATATATATAGTCATAATTTTTATTTGGCTCATGGTGGTCCTCACACATTTATCGGTGGAAATATGGCATATATAACTACATCAGCAAACGACCCTGTTTTTTACAATCATCACTGTTTTGTTGATTTTGTAAGGAAAAAAAATAAAATTTTAATTTTGTAATTTTCCTAGCTTTTCGAACAGTGGCGACAAGCAAGACAAAATTATTCTGAAAGGCCAGTTCAATACCCACTTGATAATCCTGTATATTTATTAATGTTTCTGTAATATGTAATTTTATCTTTAGGCATGCGAAACAGAAATTCATTACAGAAATAATAAAATGACACAATTTCCAGTAATTTTTTTATATTTGAAAAATTGGTGGGGCATAAGATCAGGGATTTTTGATACCATTCGGAACCAGCATTTACTATAATACCGATGTAATATGGGTGATCCACATATTCAATACACAATAATCTACGAACCCGAACCCCGACATGTCCACCATGGCAAACACCGATCCCCGACACACCCGACCACGAAGGCTCGGGGTGCTACCCTAATATATACATACAAACTATTACATAAATTGCTTCGACGCTGTTGTGTAGTGGTATCGCTATAGTATAAAACCTAGTGAAAGCGTCAGTCTATCTGGATCATACTAGCGGAACTAGACACTGATCTCTGACGTCTGCTCCAGTTCTTTCCACCTTCGCATTCATTGTTTATTTCTACACCGGATAAATTGCTATTCTATAGCACGTCAACACTACTTGAATCTCAGAACCTCCGGTTGTAATAGACGCTCGTATCAGAATTTTTACCTCGTACTTGGTGCGAGAGGAGGTAAACTATTGAGAACTCTACCTCCTATGCCACCTTCATACTAAATTATAGTTCCTTACAAACTGTTTCCATAAAAAGGAGAAAATATAATGGATCAAGTATTACTTGACCATTTTATAGATTTATTAATGTAAATATATTTTAAATATCCTTTTTAGTATATAACAAATATCGATGGATGTAGAAACGAATATACTGACAATATGTATGAATATGCTCCGAGGCCAAATTGTAGTTTGAATAAGCCTGATTGTGGCTCAAAGTAAGAAAAACTTAAAGAAATTAAATTCTAAATTAAAGATATTTGTTTTGTGACCTCTCCCATGGAACTCCCCATTGCGCAGCAAAAGCGCGTCCAGGGGGAGATTGTAAAGGATTCTTCAAAGGTCTAAAATTATCTTTAAATTAAAAAATTTTTTAAACTAATTTAAAGGTGAAAAAGTTTGTTATAACAGTGAATGTGTGAACAATGTCTGTGTAGCTCAGCCTACATCCACATCAGCTTCGACGTCGAACACTCAACCTCCATCGACAACAGCTTCGACGTCGACAACTAAGACTCCATCGACAACAGCTTCGACGTCGACAACTCAGACTCCATCGACAGCAGCTTCGACGTCTACAACTAAGACTCCATCGACAACAGCTTCAACGTCGACAACTAAGACTCCATCGACAACAGCTTCAACGTCGACAACTAAGACTCCATCGACAGCAGCTTCGACGTCGACAACTAAGACTCCATCGACAGCAGCTTCGACGTCTACAACTCAGACTCAATCGACAACAGCTTCGACGTCGACAACTAAGACTCCATCGACAACAGCTTCAACGTCGACAACTAAGACTCCATCGACAGCAGCTTCGACGTCGACAACTCAACCTCCATCAACAACAGCTTCAACGTCGACAACTAAGACTCCATCGACAGCAGCTTCGACGTCGACCACTCAACCTCCATCGACAACAGCTTCGACGTCGACAACTCGACCGACATCGACAACAGCTTCGACGTCGACAACTAAGGCTCCATCGACAACAGCTTCAACGTCGACAACTCGACCGACATCGACAACAGCTTCGACATCGACAACTCACACTCCATCGACAACAGCTTCGACGTCGACAACTCACACTCCATCGACAGCAGCTTCAACGTCGACAACTCGACCGACATCGACAACAGCTTCGACATCGACAACTAAGACTCCATCGACAACAGCTTCGACGTCGACAACTCAGACTCCACCAACGAAAGCTCCATGCGATGACAATGATGTTGAATTTTTATTTTTAACTTTCATAATTGTTATTTCCCAATATTTCAGCCTTATGACTGCGAGAAGTGTTATTGAAGAAACACTATGAATCGAGACATGAATAAAATTCTGAAAGATGTTAAATTCTTTGAACTATTATATTACATTTCTTTAATTTTAATTACCTTTTAATATTAAATTAATAAAGGTTATCCTGTGTTTAAATGAAGATCTTAATAAACTTAATCGAAAATTACAGTTAATTATCTTCAATTCTTAATTGACTTCTTGGCTTGTAATTTGAATGCAATCCTCATGCTCATATTCCAGTTATTTTTTGTAAAATTGAGTAAAGATTCTGCAAATTGCGAAAAAACTCTCATTAGTTCTAAAATTGTCAAAAAGTTGTAGGATGCTTTTCTGAATCATTTCTTCGAATTTTTCGACTATTCATAGACTATTCATCATTCTCAAATAACATCTGACCAGTTTGGAATTAACGTAAAAATTTGCATATATTTTCTGAACTTCAACTGGTTACCTGAAACACTTCAAATTTTTATCATTTCATTATTTATGTATGTTGTGATTTTTTCCAATTATATATAAAAATACAAGAGCAGGCCTAGGTTATACATAGTTTTGAAAGAATTAAAATAGTTAATGAAAAAGAAGAGAGCAAACTGAAAAAACAAAAATCTAGGGCAGGATTACTAAAAATTACCTGAAAAAGTTCCATCCATAAAAACATGCTCCATTTGATTTGACCATGCAGCACTTGCCTCACTACCAAAAACAAGAATTTGTTCTTCTCCTCTTCTATCAGCGAATAAAAAACGTTCTTGGTGACCATTTAACTAGAAATCATATTTTCGATTTTTACAAAATCTCAAACTTACTTCACGGTTCATGTACTACATATTAAATACAATTTCACCACGTGTAGATGGACTTGCAAGTGCATTATTTTCTTTTCTTCTTTGACGTTGAAATTGTTTTGTCTGACACTTGTACTAGGCATTTGTCCTAAAAATTTTTGTATTACATTTTTATTTACTTATAAATTACCATAATTGCTAAAGGCAGGTTTTGAACCGCTGCTCTTTGAATTGTGCAGATTTTTCCATTGTCGAGGAGCCTCTTTGACGAATCACGCTCATTACCTAAAGAAGGAATTCAAAAAAATTATATATTTCAAATCAACCTTTTGAGCTCCAAACTAGCTGGGTCACCTAATCCTGAACAGCAATGTGCAGTGACCATTCTTACTACGCTACTCGTCAGATGTTGTATGGATTCGTCCTTACTTTACGTTGTTTTGCGCATATATCATATAAGCATATAAACCTGCAGACTATATATCGTTAAATTATTAATTGAAGAAATATAGTAAATAAAATTATTATTGAAAAATAATATATTAAATAAATTAATTTAAAAATTAAAGCTTGCCGCTTGCCACACAACACGAGGTTGAGACTTTTTCATCTTTCCGCTTCCGCCTTAAAATCATCAAACTACATGACTCTTTGCACTTTACTAATATAGCTTTTATTAATTCTAATGCCCTTTTAAAAATATTTTTTCCTTTTTCTTTTCCGATTTTCCTCTGTCGCTGTTAAATTTAGCAAGTCGCATGCGTCAATGAAATTAATTAAAGGGAAATTAAATATTTCCGGAAACTAAATATTAATATTTTGCACTTAAGTTGAAGAATTTTTTTAGAAAGGAAGTCTAATTCGGAAGGTTTCTCAAATTTTTAAGATTGTTAATATAATCCGTTTAAGATGCTAGTTTCAAGTTTAGGTTGTGTTATTATAGACCCACCCCATTTTTCAGCAGATCTTTTTATTGAACGTCTACTTTTATCCAATTCTTTCGTTTTGAACTTCATTTTTTGCATTATAATTGTCAGTAAAGCAGTAAATAGGAGAATATGTAAAAAAGTAAGTGAATTGTTTATAAGTTCACTATATATTTAGTATTCAAAGGGGTTAAAATATAATAAGTTGAAGGAGTTAAAATAAGAGTTCAATATAAGTTAAATGAGTAAAAGTTCAAATGAAGTTAAAAATGACAAATTGAAGGGGAGTATATATAGTGATCCTAAAGTAAACATAAATTGTTATTGTAAATGGACAGGTCAGAATTAATTAAATAAAATGAAAAACAAAATATAAGATAAGTATTGTTGTATAAAAGTCGGGAAAACTCAGAAAACCTTTTATAAAAATGTAAGGTCAAGAGTTTATCATTTATTTATTTATTTTTATATTTTGTGAAAAAGATTTTTTTACTTTGTTTATTTGTTGATGCGAATGAGCAATAAGAGATAAAAACGATTTGAGAATTTTGTAGAAAAATGTGTTTCAAAATCATTGGCCCACTATGGATTCACCCTGCTAGAAAGATTTACCCTGTCTAGTCGGATAATATTAGCACGGCTAGTCAGTGAGCTACTTCATCTGTTACAGCCTCAATACTTCTTCACCTACATCTACTATGGATAAACGTTATTATTGTGCATGTCGATTTACGGAAAATTCTCGGGCGTCGATTAAGGCAAATTGCGGAAAATTCTCGTGTTTCAACTACCAATATTCTCTATTTCTTCAATCAGTAAAAAAGCTCCAATATTCTTATTAATTTGCGTTAACAGACTAATAAACAATTTAATTCATAAAATTTAAAAATAATAAAAATAATTTATTTAAATTTTTAGCACTTTCCTTAGCGGAAATCCCTTTTAAGATTTTTCCTTTTTTATTTTCCGCATTTGCACTCTATTAACTTCCTTTAATTAAACACCGAAAATCACACGTGAGGATAAATTTATAAATATTCATTGACGCAATTACAGCATGTCTAACTCTTGCACTTTAGTCAATGCTTTGATTTTTCCGGAAATTGAGAAAGTCCGCAAGTTTTTGATTTCTTGCGTAAGCATAATTTTTAGGAAAATAAAATTAAATTGTCTCCCATAAAATCTTAAAAGTATTTTTAAAGCTACCAAAACGGGAGTAATTTTTATGGAAAACTTGATAACAATATTTTTACCGAAACTTAAATTTTGACATTAGTTAAATTTGAGCGAATTCTGGAAAAGTCTGTAATTATTCTAGTAATGTTGTAAAGATTTAATCAAGTTTTTATTGAAGTAAGAAATTTGATAATGAACAAATATCCATCAATAATCCTTAAACTTTCAAGTAATAAACTTAAAGGAGATAATAAAATATAAAAAATTGTGAAAGTTTCCGGATAAAAGACTATTCCGGGATGTTGATCCTAATAAATATAGGATAATAGGAAATATGGTATATTCCGGAAATAAATTTTCACACTAAGCAATTTATTTGATACAGTTGTAAACTCTTTTATTATTGTAAAGCATATAGCTATTTAATTCCTAAGGCTATGCAGTAGGCTGCGTGGTGTAATGGCTAAAACATCAGTCCGATCTACTGAAGATGCTGGTTTGTTCCCAGCTGCCTATTAAAGCCCAGCTGCTTTACTTTATTAAGTTTATATAAACTGATGAAATCTTTACTATTGTTTCCAAGCTTAAAAGAAAATTTATGTCTGAGTCAATTTAAAAATTGTCCGCAAATCTTAAAAATTTTATGCAAAATTTTCTTTTATTTATTTCATAATCAACGTCGTCGGCTTAAGTTTTAACGCCAAAGGAAATAGAGAAAAATAGTTAAATGATAAGGAGATTTAATTCGGAAAAGAAAAAAATCAACGAGCATCATGGGCCCATAAAAGCCGGGCAAATTCCTTAAATCCATTCATTCATTGCATCTCAAGCAGCTTCAAAAAATTCTCTTCTAAAAATTCCCCTTTAAAATGAAAAATCAAAAAGTTTTAATGGCTTTTTGCCTTGCTTTTTCATTAACCTTTTGTGTGAATTCAATGCCGATTGATGAAGAAGTTAGTGGAAAAGACGATGTAGCGGATCTTGGCAAGAATGAGAAGGACCTCTCAAACAAGGTTGAAGGAGAACAAGGCACTAAGGATGAGGAGCTTTCTTCTCCTTATTCTATTTTCACTCCTTCCTCTTCCTTTTCATCTACAACTAATTCAAATGTAAGTCCTAGACAAAGAATCTTGAGATTAAGACCGAAAATAGTTTAAGACTCAGGACTAAAAAATAACCCTATGTTGGGACCAAGAGTCTTTAGATAAGTTCCAGTAATCATCCAAGACGTAAAAAGGTTCTGTCTAATTAAATTGGACTTGGTTGCAAGGAATTTGTATAGCCGACAACCCTACTCAAAATCCACATTAAAAAAATAATCAGAATCTTTAAAATTAATAAAATATTTAGACAAACGACCAAATAGACGAGGAAAACAATGTTCTCTCCCCAACTCATATTGAAACCACAAAGGCTGATGATTTTGAGGATGACGCCAAAAATGTAGCTATTGAAAATGAAAATGAGGAGGATTTGGTTGATTATGGAGCAGAAAATGAGGAAATTTTGAAACCGTTGAAATATGCGCTTAAACAAATTTATATTGTTTTGGGCTCATTTTTGGACGAGAATTCGTTAAAAATGGTTTTGGAGGGAAATGACGTGAAACCTAGACATTTGGAGAAAGAGACACTTGAAGCAAGTGATTCTGTACTTGATAAAGATAATGAAGCCGAAGATGCTGTTACTGAGTCTAATCAAGCCCCAGAATCTGAACTTCAACCTTCTGAAGTAATTTCTAGCCAAAAAGAAGTAGCTGACAATGAAAAATTAATTAAAATGTTGCATTTGTTGAAGGAAGGGTCTACTGACACAATATGCTTTAAGGAGCATACTGTACATCAACAGGGGATTTTTGAATTATTGAAACATTTGGTCCAACACATGGTAGTATCTTAAATAATATGCTTAGGATAAGATTTTCCTGGGAGTCGCAAGTGTTTCCAAAATGATCGCTTCGATTCTAAGGAGCATGCCGGGCATGAAAGTTTGATATTGTGGATGCTTATAAGGGGCATTTATAAATAATATAATAAACGGAATAAAATACACCCAGCTTAGTTGAAATACCGTAATTTTTTTAATTTTTCGGACACTACTTTTTTGAATTTTAAGCTGAGTAGAAATTTTGCGAACATTAAATCTTTAAGAAAAATATTCAATAGTGGAGTCGGGCTTTATGATCACCCTGTAATAATTGAATGGGCTATGAACTGAGCATAGAAATGTAAAAATGTAAAGAAGAAAAAAAGTTATGCCAAAATAAAGTGTCCTAAACTGATATGGTCACCCCGTAAATTGTCTTTGTATTCAGATCCAAAAATATTTTTAATTTAAATAATTCTTTATAGATTGCTAAAAATCATACGGTTGAAACCTTGATTGAAAACACGAAAACGCTCATAGACACGTTTGGAGGAGAGGACAAGGCCCGATTGAAAAATCATTTTGATCAAGTTAAGCAACGCTTCGACACTCGAAAGTTGGAAATTAAATTGCATTATATTCAAGACATTAATAAACATAAAAAGGAAATAATTGAAGATATTGAGGGCAAAATTTATTTCTTTTTGTTTTTAAATTTTTGGCAAATTTCAAATACTTTGAGAAAAAGTGCCGAAATGAATCTTAGAACGGAAAGTGATCGAAAGCATTTAATTGTTCAGCAATTAAAAATAGCTAATTGTTTAATGAATAAATTGGTTATTAAATTGGAAAATATTTTGCTTAAAACAATGCTTGAAAAAGATCAGATGTAAGTTTTAGCTACACATTGATATCAGGGAGGGACCCGGCTCAAGTTGTAAAACTTAAAAAGGAAAGTAAAAAGTGTAAGATCGAACGCGGTAACAGCAGGCGTAAAAAAATAAGGAATCTGCGGAAAGCTGACGACTTAAATCCTTTCAGAGAATGTCGTTATAATATAGGTTTATGTCCCAAACATGGGCCTATTCTTTAATATGCGCAAACTGGAAAATTTTTGTTTTAATAATAATACTAAATATTTTCAACATTAAGTGCTGTGCAAACAAAAATTTAGTTTAAACTAGCAATTTTATTAGTTTTTATTTGTGTTATTACCAGTATGGAACAATGGGGATATTTTTGTAAGGATAAGGGAGATAAAGCTGGCGATATCTTAACTAGTCGTAGAGAAAAACCACCGACTAATTTAGCGTTACCGGTAGCAATTTAGAGCTGCTGCCGATGTTTTGTATTATCCAAATCACATTTACAAAGAAACTGGGGGACAACTCCTCGCTGGTAGCGAATTTGTACGTTCTCTACAGTTATGGCTTAAATTGGACCTTTCCAATACTAGAATCAACAATACCAAACTAATTTTAAATTTCAGCGAGCCTTTTTTCACTTGAATTAACTTTATACCCAACTAAATTTAAATTTCAGCGAGCTGTTGAAACAAGCCGTTAGAATGAGTATAGTCCCATTTGTCAACGATCATCAGCAAAATTTAATCGTCAATGCTTTTGGATTGCAACAAACTCTGGATAGTGTTTGTGACGTGAATTATATTCAAACCAAACCGCTCAAATTGTACAATAAAATTGGTAAAAAAGCTAAAAGTTTGAAGGAAGTGAAGGATAAAGTGTTTGGAAGTATTTTGTCTTCATTCTATTTTATTGGTGCAAACTTGGGATTAAATTATCATGAAGTTCAGAATATTTTAGAAAAGGTTTTTTTGAAATTTTCATGTGTTTAAGTTGTATTATGGTGGATATTTCCACGGTTAATGCTATAAACCGGAGCACAACCAAATGTTCGTTACTACGATAATAATCAGTCGGCCTATCATAGTAGCTACTAGAGACCAGCTGGACCTGGAACAAGGCCAGGGTTTTTCCTGTAACCAGAGTCCAAGTCCAGGCATTTTTTACCTTCCTGAGTTTTTTCTGGGCCTGGGTTTTTCCTGAACTACAGGCCCAGGATACAGTCCAGGTCAAGAAATCAAACCCAGAGTTCAGGAACAGGTCAAGGCTTGTCATTTTCAGTTTAGGTGGATTATATTAGACATTCTATACCTCTGTCTTTTTCGCTAGTCTTATCCACCTTCCTAAACATTGTAGTTTTCTACTGATGTGGGAGCTTTCCGAGGAGTCTTTTAACCTTGCTTCCTTGCTCTAGCCTTCTTTAGCAAATCTTTGTCTGGACCCTGAAACAACACTTATAAAATAGATAAGAGGTTTGATTTTTAATATAATCTAGCTTATCATGCCGAGCTATTCAAAGAGCTTTCCTAAGGACTCTGAAAAGTCTCACAAAAGACTTCAATTATGCTATTATTTTATATTTTTCAGTCAATGAACAAAATTGAAGACGAATCGAAATATTTAAATCTTACAAAGAAAATCCAAGTTAAAAATCTTTTTGGTTATTTCTATAACAATTTGTTGCTTAAATATGGGGGAGGAGACTTGAAGAACAAAAAATTTGTTAAATGGCTTCAAAATTTGAGCGAAAAGTTGATGAAAAAGCCCAAAATTGTTAAAAAGAAGGTATCTTAATCGAGATAGATTATAAATTTTTAATTATTTTTAAAGGAGGGGAAGGTACGTCGCCATTCGTTTCCTTAAAAATAAACAGAAAATGAAGCTTGATTGGAAGGAAAAAAGGGTTGGTAAGGTAAAGCTTATTCCATTACCCTCAAGTTTATTTTTAAAATTTAAAATTTTTCTCTTTTTTTATTCGAAAAGTATTTTTTATTTTTAAGTTTACCGTCATGCTGTAATAGTAAATGCTTTAATACCGTAAATGCTCTCTCTTATATAAGCACTCTACGAGTGGATCGCAAAATAGAACCTCTGTGCTTCTATTAGAACAGTTACGGTATTTTCATTTTAAGTTTACTCCTAATTATAGAGCTTATATTTTGAGTTTATTTTCTTCTTTCTTCCAAAGTTTAATTTCAATCTTATTAATATTCTAAAGGGAATTTTTCTACACAAACTTTAAAACTTCTTTCCTTTCATTTTTCCATTAATTTAAATTATTTTTCTGAATATTTTCATCAATTATTTAAATAATTCATTCACCTATATTCAAATATTTTATTTTCCAGAAAATAATTTTTATTTTTTATTTGTTGCATTAATTAATTTATTAAGCTTTATTGTGGAATATTTAATTTTATCGGCTAGCTTTTTCTATTTATTCTTTAAACTTTTTAATTCTTTTTTTAATTTACTAGAATAAATCTTTATATTTTTTTATATTTTTATCTATATTTTATTATTAGGACTAGGATTTTTAGGATGTAAAAACCCAAAATATGTACCTAAGTAGGTTGCAAAAAAGGTCGTATAGGAGACAAAAAGGCCAATGTTTCGAATAATTTCTGCTTGCCTTTCAAAATTTTCACCGATAAAACAAAAATTGAGTAAAACCCCCAATTTTTCAAAATTTTCACTTAAAATAATAATTAAGAAAGGTTTTTTGAATTTTTAAAGAAATATTTTTTCAAAAATTGAAAAAAATTTGTTTTAATTGATGAAATTTTTGATAAATTGTAAGCTTTTTTAGTAAATTAATTAGAATTTTCGAAGATTTTTGTTTAAAAAATCGTATTTTTAAACAAAAATACCAATTTTTGGTTGCAAAAATCCGATAAATGGATTTAAGCTTTTCATACAACGAATTTAAGCTTTTCATACTTCAACTATTTAAATCTGGATATTATAATCCAGCATCTGATTCAAAATAAATTTTGAAAATCCCACTTGAAATTTTTGAAACTTGAGACAAGAATAATAATAATAATTAAAATCTATTATTTTTAACCAATTCAAAAAAAATTTTTTTTAATAATTGTGAATAATTAAAGAAATTATATTCTGTGAATAATTAAAGAAATTATATTAAGTAAAACGTGTTCAATAATTTCTTGTTTGTTCTTGTTTGTGCTAAAATATTTTCAACTAAAATCCCTTCAATGATCACACAACTTCTTTCCTACATATTAATAAAATAAATTATCGCGTTCCCCCCATTCTATTCATATAATCCTCTCCTTTATTCTTTTATTCCATTGTTCTTTATGTTGTTGATGTGCGCAATAACTATGATCACTCAAAAATCTCGACTTGAAACATCGAAAATTTTTTAAAAATTTTAAAAATTCTTTTCATGACCACTATTAGAAAAATATTTTTAAGCTTAAAAATTTCAAAAACGCCAAAATTTGCGCACACCCAGACAAAACTCAACAAAAATCCCCCCAAAAAACCCCCACAAAATCCCCCCCACAAAAAGCCAGTCTCCGCCGTTATTTTATTTTTAATTCTTTTCTCTCAATCTCCGCGAGCAATATGGATATTTCGCTTTATATATTTGTGAGTGGCAAATAGAGCATCACAATAATAACACAAAAAAGCATTCGTTCAAAGACAGGCTTTTTGAACCACTTGTGAATAAAATTATTGACTGAATTCAAGCTGCGCAATTAAATATATATTTATTTATTTTATATGTAAATTTTGTTTTTGATTATTTATTAAATTTTTTTTTGATTCTTTTTAAATTATTAGAAAAAATTTTTTTAATTTTTGTTAATTAATTAAATTTCGTTTCTCATTTAAACTTAGCACGGGACAACTAAAATAGATATTATTGCTCATAAAATTCTAATAAATAATTAAAATAAAATTAATTGTATTATCAAACTCATCTAAATACATACATATTTAAAAATTTTTGGTTGCAAATTTTAAAATTTGTACATAATTAAAAAACTGACAAAAATATCAAATTTTTAGATATTTTTGTAATTTTTTCCTTTTTCTTTCATTTTTTCGACGCAAGTTCATTCGAAAAGCTAATATAAATATATGACAACACTGAAGACATTACTAAAGAAATTTGTGTGTTTTGGAACAGCTCGTTGATAATCCAAAAATTTAAAGGGCTTTATGAGTTGTTAGCCTTCTTTCGACTTTAATTCTGAATATATGTAACAGAAAATTCTAAAATTTTTAAAGATGGTAGCTAACACATTTGAGACTGTCTATGAAAATTTTCAGAATTTAGGATTAATTTAGCGATAATTTCTGTCAGATCTTTCTATCGGAAAATGCTTGTTTTAAAATTAAAAATCTTCTTTTAAATCCTGTAAACTTGTTGAAATTTCCTGATTTAAAAATAAATTTGTTTTTCACATAAACCCTTTTTTCCGAATTTTCCAATCCATTCACTTTCAACTATTTCCTTCATCCGCTCGATTTACAGCGATTTTTAAAAAGCGTAAAGCACTCTCAAGGCAAAATAATAGTTTTAGCGAATTTAGGGCATTTTAATAATTATTTTTTATTGAAAAAGTAATTTTATTTTTTTATATTTTGAATAATTTTATAGAACAAAACTTGAAATAAACCCTAAAATTTTGTTTTCATTTTTTGTTCTTTTTTGTTAAAAATATTAACTAACCTAATCTACATAATACTAACTAATTTAATTAATTTATAGTAAAAGTAATTCAGAATTTTTAGTGTTGTCATTTTTGTCAAATAAGTTATATTTTTGCAAGTCAAGCATATGCCTTGACTAAAATAATTAAAATATTTCGACTTATAGATAACAATTGGAAAATTTGAAATTCTCATTTCTTTGATTATTTTTTCATATTATTAATTAACCCAATTAAGTTTTGAAGTAAGCAGTGATGTCAAAGTTCCAGTTCCGCAACTAGAACTGCGGAACTAACGATTATCTGGAGCTAGTTTGGACTAGAACTACGGAACTAGTAAATGTCTTAAACTAGCTTTGGAACTAGTTCTGGAACTAGTTGCTGAAGGACTTGATCAACCCTTAAGCTCTTCCTAGGAAGTCCAAATAATCTCCCCTCCCAATATTCCTCTACATTCTGGGTAATTTAGCATTGCTCCGGCACTATGGGTTGGAGAATATGAATGAAAGCCGAACACCTTTTCCGTATACAGGGCGACCCAAAAAGTTTAGGACAAACCTTCTATGCCATAACTTTATTCAATCTAAAGATAATGAGATCAAATAAGGCTTATATGAAAGAGAATTAAATAAGGAACAAGAATAATCAAGAATTTTGCAAGTACTCAACCTTTACTTGGATACAGAGCCGAAGGCGCGTTGAAAAATCTTGGGCAAAGGTTCGTAGCACAACGGGTGAGATTTTCTCACATTCCTGGGCGAGTGATAGTCAGAGCGATTTCAAACTTATGTGTTATTAAGCAATGACTTACCTACAAAAATTAATAAAAATTGTAAATTAATAAATTTTACAATTTTGTAAATTAATTAAAAATTAATTTAAGGGATGCTTAAAAGTTTAATAAAAAATTTTAAATTTTATTTCTGCCTAAATTCCATCAATTTAATTAATTTCTTTGTTCTAACACATTTATTTTTATTTATTAAAGCAAATGAAGAAACGACAAAATTAGCTAATATAAATATAGATGAACTAGTTAGTGAGGAGGATTATGGGGCTGTATTGGACCAAGAGCCGGCTAAACCTGATGATGTTGATAATGACGTAAAATTTATTTTAGGTTAAGGGAAATTAAAAATGAAATATTTTTAATCATTAAAATTTTAAAAAATTTTAAAATGTTCGAAAATAAATTTTACTAACTTCAATCGGGTCTTAAAGCACGCCAAATGCCATAAATCGGCAAAATTAACGCCAAACGGCATGGCGTACTGCCCTGATTTCAACATATTTTCAAATTACTATTGAAAATGATTTTTTTAAATTTTTTTTTAATTTTGGTTTTGTTGAGAAATCAGATTTCTCAACTTTTTAATAAAAAAAGATGTTAACTTTCTATCGAATCGGATCCAGATGATGAAGAGTAATTCTCTTATGTTTTAGATGATGAAAATAATGAATATAAATTATTTTTCACGTATTTTTTGACGTAAAATAAAAATTTCTGTTAGTCTCGGTCAGTATCGTTTCTCGGTATCGGTCTCGGCTCAAAATGATGGTATCGGTCTCGGTATCGGGTTCTTGAGTATCGGTCAATCTCGGTCTCGGGTTGACCGATACCAGTATCGTTTTGTCCAAATCTAGTTTATACGGAGCTCATTTATGCCATTTCTGGGAACTAAACAAACAATAAAACAGCATAAATAAAATTTTAGTCAAAAATAATTTTTAAGATAATCCAATCCCTCGTTGACAATTTTTTAAACAAAGGCACAACCTCCAATGATGGAGATAAACAACAAACAAATATAGAAAAATTAAACAAGGAAGCACAAGCTTTAATTAATTCAAGTGATTACTGGAGAGTAGAAAACTTGAAGGTAGGCGTTAATTTGGTATCAGATGTCGCTTCAAATCAAAACGCATAACTTTTTAAATAATTGAGCTATGTATATTATAATTTTTATAATTTTTCAAATTATTATTTCACAAAAAAAATAATTTAATTTTCGTTAAAAGCCGGCTTTTGGGGAGTTTTCTTTTTTAAAAATTTTTTCTGGCATATTAATTTCCAACCTAGATGATTTTGTAGAAATTTAGTTTTTCAAAGAAAAGAGCTTAATTTTTAATTAATTATCTCCAAACTTTCTAAAGTTATTTTCCAGAAAAGATTTTTCTTTCATAAAATTTTGGTTCGTGAGATAGAATTTCATTTAATTAACGCTCTTGCAGCAAATTTAATTCTCTATTAAAATAGCAATATCGGCCCATTCATTCTAAAATTATTAATACGGCACTTAAACCTTCTATAATTTTCCTTAAATTCTTTAAAATTAAAAAAATTTTTCAAGCCATTTAACTCAATAAATGACCCAGAATTAGCCAAACAATGGTTAGCAGGATATTCTGTTGAATTACAAAAAGTCTTGCATCAAATAGCTTTGGCTGGGTGGAATTATTTTACGGCTGCTTCTATCTCTTTAAAGCAAAATTTGGATGAAGCAGAGGAGGTAGAAATTATTAAATTTTGATAAATATACAAAAATCTTTTATGAACTTCCTAAATTTTGTCTGTTTTTTGTTGCTTATGTTATTTGTATTTTAATTATATTTTATGCCATTTTGATTTGGATCTGATCTATTCTGATTCGATCCACTCTGATTTTACGCTATTCTGATTTATTCTGATTTTGATATGACTATTTTTGAATTGATTCTGAAAAGTTCTGATCATGTTCTGATAATGTTCTTATTTTCTCCTGAATAATTCAATTAAATATATAACTAAAATTTGCATAATATTTATTGATTGAATCGTGTTTAAATAAGAGAAAATTTGAAATTTATTTTATAAAAATATTTAATTGTTTTATATTTTTATAAGTCGATTTCTATATCGACTAATTAGATTTGGATGTGATGATTGATCTTCTGATGATGTTCTTAACATTTCTGAACAATGCTATTGAGTATATGTACATATAACTAAAATTTACATAATATGTATGTATTAATTATATCAAGTTTAAATATGAGAAAATTTAAATTTCATTTTGTAAGTTTTATTTCCTTTTCTAGTATTTTTGTAAGTCGATTTAAATTTGACTAATTAACTGTGGCTATTCTGGTATGAATAATTCTGATTGTATCTGACTTTCAGCGTGTATTCTGATTTAATTAAAATTATTTTCCTAAATATTCAGAAAAATTAAAATTCACTTTAAATTTATTTTAATCCAAGTTATTTAAAATTAAAATAAGGTTGGACGTTCATTTTTACGTGCATCAGCTTTACAATCTCAACAATTTAATAGAACCATATTTCATTATGGCTCATTGGAAAGAATTCAATTTTCCGTGTTGGCACAACAAGGAATGAATGCGTTGGATACTGATGACTATAATGAATATAATAAAATATTGCTTTCAATAAATCAACAATTTATACATACACAATTGTGTGGGGAGCCTGGGAAGGGTGAAAAAAATTTTTTTTTAATTTTGAAAATTCTTGGAATTTTTGAAATTTTTTCGAAAATTTTTTCAATTTCTAATAATTTCATTATCCTGTTAAGCACCCATGGGCGGAGACAAATCAGCCTGTCTTTTACGATTTTCTGACATCCCCTCAATGTTAAATGCTCCGGGAGCTGATGCTATGCAATGCCTCGATCTTTGGCAAAAATGGCGTTTATCAGTTGGAAATGGGCTTAAAACAAGTTATTCACAGCTTGTTCAGATGAGTAATAAAGGTCGGTAGACTTTGTAATAATCGTCTACCTCCATTATATTCTAAAATATCACTTATTTGTTAGATCGGTGTCAAGCCCTCCTCGGCCATTTTCAAACTCGACCTCAATTTTGCTAACCTCAAAAAATCTCGACCTATTCTAGTTAGGGCTAGAAAAATTATGTTCGTTCAGAAGCGAAACCTATTCTTGGAATTTTACTTTCTAAAAAGCTGGAGTGTTTGTAAATAAAATCCTGTCAAATTTTGGTTATAACTTTAAAATTATTAATTAAAGATCGTAGTATATAAAACATAAATTTCGGTTAAAGAAATTGAGATAGTTCGAGTCATTGATCTCGACTCACGAAAACCCTCTCAGTCCAGACGACCCAGTAATAATTACAAAATTCTGATCCCAAATTTAAAACTTATTTTAATAAGCATCCATCTTAAAGGAGCACGTTTGAATTCCTTCCAAAATTTGGGTGAAATGTGGCGTGCAGTTTACGAACTCCCTGAGAACTATGGTTTTTATTCCGAGAAACAATTCGACTTGGAAGAGCAATTAAATAGTGTTTATAATCAAATAAAACCATTTTATCAACAATTACATGCTTATTTCCGTGCGAGATTGGCCGCTTTACACTCGAAGAAGGGTGGAGAGGAAGTTGGTTTTGACTGATTTAAAATTTATTTTCTAATGTCTGGACAGGATCTAGACAATTAAACCTCTATAAAAATTTCTTATCTTTATACCATAAGCGATTTTTTGTCAAAAGATTTGATTTTATATGTTTAACGATGAATGAAAATCAAAAAATTCTGCAAGCGGGGTTTAGTGATGATAAAGGGCACGTGGACATATAGGGACGGCATATCAGGATATTTCAATGTACGAACATTTACCCTACTGATTTCGGGGCCTACGGCCACTGGGTTTTGGATTATATACATATAGTCGAATTGAGGAATATAGTTTTTATATTTTAAAGCAAACGTAAACACGTAAGAAATTATTTTTGTCACACCACTCCCGATATGTCCTTCAGATATGTCCGCACACTATGATAAAGGGATTAGGAAAAAAATTGTAAAAATTTGGGTAAAATTGTATACAAAAAGAGGGGACAGGAAAAAATAAATTTAAAAATTCCTACTTGTGTTTCATAAAAATATTTAGAGTGATAAATAGATATTTGAAAATCATTATCATATGTATGAAAAACTGCTTTCTTGAAAAAAATTTTCTACAATAAAAATTTCAGATTTCTTAAAAAAATTTTTAATTTTAACCAAAGAATCAAAAAGCTGGTTTTGTCTCTAAAAATGGCCCAATACCCATACATTTACTAAAAAGTTCAAATGGAGATAACTGGTCAGCTTATTATGAACAAACAAAACCTTTTTCTGACGAAACCTTAGCTGTGGAAGAAGAAAGAATATCCAACGAATTATTAAATTCATTTCATGCACAAAACTATACTGTTAGATTAATGTATACTAAAGTAAGAAAAATCAGAATCTTAGTAAAAAAAAGTTTGTAAAAATTATTTAAGGTGTATCGCTTTATGAAATACTTAGGTTTCGAAAAATTACCTAGATCATTTTGGACTAATTCTGTTTTTAAAAGAAACTGGGCTAAGGAAATGATTTGTAATCCTGCTACTGCTTATGATATGGTAGATAATAAATTTTAATTAAAATGAGAATTTTTAATCTTTTAAATTCTGATTTTACCTTGTTTGCAATGCAGCTTTTTAAACTGTCGATTCTATCGCGCGTTAAAAAAGCTGTGAATTAAATTAATTCTGATTTATTATGAAAATTATTCTGATAAAAATTCTGGTTATGGAATAAAAAGTATTTAATAATCCTAGTAATTTGCCTCAGACTATTATATAATTCTGAAATAATTTTTATTAGAATTCAGAATTATTTAATTCTGATTTTATTTGAGTTTGCCGCTTTACTGTATACCAGCTTTTTAAACTGTCAATTGAATCGAACGTTTACAAAGCTGTAAATCAAACTACATAATTCATTTAGAATTTAATAAATTTTGAAAAATTTCAATTAAAAATCAAAATATTATTTAAATAATTTTGTATATTCTGAATACTAAATTTTTTTAATTCTGATAATTTTATATTAAAAAATCAGAATTCTTATTAGCAATAATTTGAATTATTTTAATTAAAGATGAATGGCCAAGACGACTATAGAATTAAAGTTTGCGGTCAGCTAAGTGAACAAGTATGAAAATATTTGTTTAATATAAATTTTGATTTTAAGGAATTTATACAGTCCCACCGTTTGATGGCCAAATTGTACTACCAATATGGATCAAGACATCAACCAATTCTATTGAGAGATGCGCCTAATCCAAGGCAATTATTCAATTTAAAAAAAATAAATTTGAATCTTATAAAAAAATTATAGTCTGATTTTACGTTTGATACTCCCTTGTCTAAAACGACCGATATCTTACCCAAATCCCCTTATATGCAATCCCTGATATCTATTTTACACCACACATCCCCTGATACATAAATTCCTTGAAATTACCTATTACGCCTTGACCTCACACGAGATCATTCAAAATCCCACTTAATCCATCCAACTCCTCCGATATACCATTCAACTTTGTTCTACAGCGCCGCAGGCAAAAATTTTGATTTTAGGTGAACAAAAAGTCATATTTCTTCCTTTTTCAGCGCCTCAGACAAAATTTTGAGAATTTTGGATGGCCAACTGGGAAACCTATGGTTAACAGAAACCGAACCGATTAACCGAAACCAAACCGTAAATCTTCGGTTTTTCGGATGGGTTCTGTTTGAAACCGACAACCTTACCCACAATAGCATAGCTCTTTCCTTTCGTGTTTATTTCTCATGTTCAATCACTTTCAATCTCTTAAAATTATAAATTTTCAGTCTAAGCTCTGCATTAGCTGGTGCCTTCAGTGTAATAGCCCGCAACCTTGATTATCTACGTTCTATTAAAATAGTTAATGAAAAAGTTGAGAGGAGCGAATCTGCAGAAATTAATAGATTATATAAAGAAGCTCTTGAAGATTTTGTTAAATTACCTTTTGCTGTTGTAGCTGGTATTTTGGAAATTTTTTGTTTTTTGAAAATTAATATTGAAAAGATAAATGGAGATATGCTGTATTTAACGAAAGCCTGTCTCCTTCAAATTGGTCGATGGAGTGGTGGTCGTTGAGGTAATAATGTAAATTTTTTGGTGAATAGATAGGACTAAAAAATGATTTTTGAATTTTCAAAACTTCAGTGACCCCTATATTAAAATAAAATTCTTGTAATACTAGGTAAGGAAGCTCATCTAAACGGTCGATTTCTAAGCGCGTTCAAAAAGCTGTGAACGCTTTTTAGTCTTCTACAGTTTTTTTGGCTACGGAATGAGGTCAGAAAGCTGTTTTAAAAATCAAATACAGTTATTAAAATCAAGTCCTATTGAATTATTTTTTTAAACCCGAGCAAAACTCTTATAAATCTCAAAATTATAATAATTGTTACTTTAAAGGCAGAAATATCAAGGGATTATTGCCCCTTCAATGGCTGATCCAAAATCTGTAGAAAGTGATCCAACAGCTTCTCCATTAATTACTCAACAGCATGCACCTGCAACACGTGATACCTTTGCTTATATTGCCCAATTCCAAATTTTAAAAAAATTGTGTAAAGATAAATTGAGTCAAGGATGTTTGCCTGATAAAGAGGAAATGAAGGTGATAAAATAAATTTTTCTAAATATTTTCTAAGTTTTCTAAAGATTCATAACATTCGTTTTGAGCCTTTGAGTTTTTAATATTAATTTTTATGAGAGTAAAAAAGGATCATTTAAAAAAGGTTATAAAAATACAGCTTTTTAAACTCTCGAATTCATCGAGCGTTTTAAAAGCTGTGAATAAATTTAAATCATTTAAATGACAAAAAATTAACAGGATATTCACTACGCCATAAAAAGTGGCGGTTCAATTTCTTGGCTTGATGCCTTTGAGAAAATGACTGGAAATAGACATATTGGTAATCCTAATTAGTTTTGAACTTTTTAAAATTTTTTATATACATATTTTTGTAATTTTTAAAAATTTTCATTTTGTTGAAGATGCCGGTCCGCTGTTAGAATATTATTCTCCGTTAATTCAATGGCTTGGTAATATTAATTCCAATGAACAACGAGTTGTTGGGTGGGAAGTTGAGGGTGAAGGAGAGGCTTTTGCTGAGTTAATTCATATTATTTTTAAAGCTTTTAAATTATTTTAAAGAAACGAACTCCCACATTTACAAAACCAATATGAAAGTGAAAATGGGGGAGAATTTGGGAGGATAGATGGAGCGGGTGGAGGAGATGCTCAAATTGCTTTTCCTGGTAAAAAATCTTTATGGCTAGTTAGATTGAATTATTGAATTGACTTATTAACTGGATTTTAATTATTACCGTAGATATAGGGAATTTGTAAGGATACAGGGGATCTGGGGGTCAGATACGGAGCCGAAGTTTTTCTTAGCCTCACCATATGGGCGGCTTACATGGAGCGGCTTTACAGGAATTGTTGAGGTCAAGAATACAAATTATTTCTATTTTCCGAGCCATGGGCGAAAATTTTAAGATATTTGGAAGGCAAAGGTCTAAATCATTGCTATAAATTTTTATTGAAATTTTTACTACTAATCTTTCCAATAAAAAAATAAGGGGGGACATTTTAACATAATAATTTAATACTAGGTCAGAGCTGCGAGAAGGATCAGGAATGTCTACTCGATTCAAAATGTAATGGAACAATTTGTGTTTGTAGAGAAGGATTGTATACTCTTCGGATTGCAGGCACTTATAACTGTGTTCCGAGTGATCCTGCTAAGGTTATTTTTGTAAATTTATGACTTTTTCTTTGATATTTTGAATTTTATTTGCCTTTCAATTTTTCACTTTATTTAATTAATTCAAAAAAAACAATATAGGTAGGATTCACCGATGACAGTGGTGGTCTAGTAATAGCCCTAAATCCCAACAATGGATCACACCCTCCTGAAACCGGGCAAAATGCTGACATAGAGGCGGTTGTTACAATAGAACACATGGATGAAGAGGCTAATAAACATGCAAAAACCTCAAATTCTGCGACAAAAAAGCTTTGCAATTTCTCCATTTTATTCTCGATTTTTTTGGTCATTTTTGCTTTAAGACAAGAAATGCTTATTCATCGGATATGAATTTTATAGTTAATTTACAGAGCTATATGTATATTATTTGTTTATTTGTAAAATTTTTTTGTTTACTATTTACGTTTCTAATGTAATTTATAAAGATTAGTGCGCGGAACCGGACCGGATCCGGCCGGATGCGGCGCTGAAAAAGGAAGATAAGTGGATTTGGAGGGACTAAGGAGGGATATAGGTGTATTTGTAAAGATTAAGATGGATCTACATCTCCCTTACAACTCAAATCCCGCGATATCAATCCTACTCCACCAAATCACCTGTTATCCACCACAAATCCGCCAAGCACCCTTCATAATCCTCCAAAATCCTTAGATATCCCCACTAACAACATCTTAACACATAAACAAACAAATCTCTTTATTAAAGATATAGAATACTATACTCAATTGATAACTGGCCACCTAGTTTTCCATATATGATCTGCAAAAGACGTTCTGCAAAATGGAACTCCTTTAACTCCCTTATTCATTTATTTTCTCGCAGTTTATCCAGAATAACCTTATTTAAAAAGCGGAATTTTAACAGAAAAATTTAAAAAAATTTTAAAAAAAATTAACAGAAAAATTAAAGAAAATCAATTTGCTCAATTGTATATTCATGGCCACAAATTTTACTGATAAATTTATGCCCTTTATTATAAATTGATGGCATTCGATGTCAGTGTTTGATATTTTTTGAATAAATCATACGATAGAATAATCTAAAATTGATCCCTTTGACTCTCTAATTTACACACAACTCCCTAATATTTAAAAAATGATTGCCTCTCAATTTTTCTTGTAATGTTGACAATTAATTTTCGCCTGTCAAATATATATCTCTACAATAAGACTTGCTTGTTTGAGAAAGATACTCCCAATTAACGTCAGATTGTATTGCACGAAAGTCGACATACAACTTATATTCGACCATTTGCATCTACAAAACTCCCGAATAAACGTAAGTGATAGGTGTCGTATAAATTAAAACTCCACCGCTTCTCTAATTTACACACTATGTGGCAGCCTAAATCCCACTGAAAAATTCTTCGCATATATATGTAGACGCCTCCCTTAGAAATTAACAAAATATGCAACTATTTATGTATATGTATATTCATTAAATTATTCATTAAATAATTATAATTTAATATTATTATTATTATCACTAATAGAAAGGCTGTCTCCATTTGAATGGCCCGCTTTAATAGTATGGCCCCCTTGAGGATGATTGAAAATAGAATGCCCCCCCCATATGAATATATTTATTCAAAAGGACCTCAAACTTAAACTTGAGTAATTAAACTATAAAATCAACGTGTGAAAAAAGATAAAACTTAAGTTTGGCCAGAGAATTTAAAAGAAAAAGAAAATGATTAAAGGCAAAACCTAAGTGAAAAAACTAAATAAAGCGCAGGTGGGTGAAAATGTAAATAGGTGAAGGAGATAATACTCGGAGAAATTAGTAGTGCTAAAAATAGCTAAAAACTTAAAGAATAAATAAAATGATTGGAGAAGCGATCAGAAATGAAAATGATGTTAGCACAAACGGGTATGGCTAAAAAAGAGATATCGGGCAAAAACAAACGGTTAAAACCAGACGGTGCAAAAGATCTGTCGCTTTGCGACAGAGCGTTTCAGTAAACTTTGGCCATCCAATGAATACTTTTTTTATGGAATTTTTTTTAATTTTCCACATTAAAATCTTATAGAATTAATGCTTTAATTTAAGACTTACATTAAAATTAAATTAATTGTTGAACCGGATATCCGCCAACTCTAAACACACAATGTGACTATTCAACGATTCTATAATGCAATCCCCATCTCCTCCCCCCCCCCCTCCCCACAGAAAAAAGCTGGCAGGAGGTAAGAGAAAAGCAGTCGCTAAGAGAAGAGCAGTCTCTAAGAGATAGGAGAAGAGCAGTTCTATAGATGCACGCATGCATGGCCATAAGTCTTATTAACGTTACGAGGAAATGTCTAACAGTCGAATCTATATTATATTTTTTATTCAAATCTTTAGAGGTAAGTGAAGAGGGTCTTATGAGACGTGTCTTATAGTCATATTGCAAGCTCCCCCCTACCCAAAGAAAAGATCTGGCAGGAGATAAGAGAAGAGCAGTCGCTATGCCCAATTCTAGATGCACGCATTATTGAATGGCTCTAGGTCTTATTGACGTTAAGAGGAAATCTCTAACAGTCTAATCTACATTATATTTTTTATTCAAATCATTTAGAGGCAAGTGAAGAGAGTCTTGTGAGACGTGTCTTATAGTGTATATTTAGTTAGGAGGGATAATCTTTCCAAAATAAAAGCCAGGCAAATATGTTTAAATGCCCAGGCAAATGGGCGTTTAACATTCACTCTTGACAAGTCATTCTTTAATTTTCTAACCATTTTTTAAAATTTTAGTTGTGAAATATGCTTTAAAAAATTATATTGGTGCGAGCAAATGTTTTTATTAAATTTAATGACAAAATAAGAGATCGGATCTTGTTCTCGTCATACAAACTAACATTCTTGTTCATCCATTATTAACTTAAGCTTGCGAAAATACATTGGATGACTACAAGAACGTCCTTTATTAATCTTGCAAGTTAACTTTAAAATTTCCTTAGTCATAGTTTCCGTTATTTACGATATTACTCAAAATCATTTGAATTTTTGCTTAAATGTTTCTTGCCAATGCTTGTCTAGCTAAGCAGTCTAATGTTTAATCAGTCTAATTATTTAGTGATAATTTAATTTTTTTAAAAGATGAAACTGTCAACTTGTTTTATTTTTCTATTTTTAATTTGTATTTTATTTGATTTAAATTATTGTCGGAAATCTAACAAAAACAAGCGTGGAAAAAATGGCAAAAACCAAAAGACACCTAAATGTGAAACACTGATGTGTAAGAATTTTTGTAAAAGAGGAATTACAGCAGGAGGAATTGAAAAAATAAAGCAAACTCGAGGTGGAAATAAGGTAAAAGATATCTACTGTTTGAAGGTTCATATGTATCTTATAGAGATCGAGATTTTTGAAAAGCCTGGACCTGTTCCTGGACGCTGGAGTTGATTTCTTGACCTGGACTGGACCTGGGCCTGTAGTCCAGGAAAAACCCAGGAAGGTCAAAAAATGCCTGGACTTGGACGCTGGTTACAGGAAAAACCCAGGCCTTGGTCCAGGTCCTGCTCGATCTCTAGTACCTTAAAGCTTTTAAATGACAATTTAATTCATTCTTAGTTGTTTTCTTGTTGAAATTAAACGAGCATTACAATAATTTAATGTTTGTAATAAAAGTCTCACGTAGTAAACAAAATAAACTCTGCTCTTCTTCTTTTCTTTAATCAATTTAGACACAAATACAAAATATGAACCTTTTTACTTTTCTTTTCAAAATAACAAAAATAATATAAAGAAGGAACGAACATGTGGGAGAGAAATGGGGTTTACATTAAAAGAGGGGAGAGAATAATTGGATGGGGTCAAAATATGGGGAGAGAACGAAAGAAAAACAAATGCTATTTCTTTTTAGCATCACATCCCGCTCACTTCAGATGACGGCGTCCTCGACGTCAGAATAAATTCTTCCATCTCGGTCTGTTTCAGCGAAAGGTTTTGGGTGGCGAGGTTATTCTTTTGTTGCTCTTAGTGTCAAAGTTGATCATAGGGTTCTCGAGACCGACTCGATTTACTAAACCCGATCTTCGATGAAATGTTTCCAATAGGACTCCAATGGTGAGAATTTCGGCCACCGACACCGATTCTACCAGTCCTGATTCTTGCTTTCGTTTTCTTTTCTTCCAATCTTTTTCAATTCCAGCGTCCTTTGATTCACAAATTACATCTTGTTTTGTCACCGAGACAAATTTCAAGACTTTCATTAGCTTTAAATCTTGCATTTGATGGTCCATTTCTTTCGAAAAATTCCCAGAATGATTAGGGACTCTGATCAGCGTGACCAGTTTTTCCAAGTTCAGACACCTCCGAACTCCGTGAAAAAATCGTCCCATGATTTTTCTTTTCAAAAATCCGCATTCAAAATCTTTTCCAAAATCATTCCTTAAAATTTCTTTCATTAGAATCAATTTTTTTTCCTCAATTTTGACCTTAACATCTTTCTTTTTTCAACCAAAACTCAATTTGTCTCTTGACGGCAGGATTTCCTTCTCAGGATCCTTCTCAAACACTTCCAATTTAAATTCCAAACTTTCTTGCACATCATCTTTTTCTTCCAAATCAAAATCCTTTTCACCTAATTCTTTCAAATCATCACACAAATCACTTCCTTTTTCTTTCAAATCAACACATTCTTCGCCTTCAAAACATACAATTTCTTCTTTAATTTCTTCATGGGAAACAGGAATATCCATTGGAACAATTTTTTGAAAAACATGGATTTCTGTTGGAATAGGAACTTCGACAGATGTAAAATCCTGCTTTCCATCTAAGGAACATGTAAGCTCTACATCTAATTCACAAATTTGTTCATTTCCAAAATCTTCCATTGATTCAATCACTAATTCCTTTTCACCAGTTACATCCTTTTCAACAATTGGTTCCAAATTTTTCAAAAATTTTTCTTCTGAATTTTCCAATTTGCTTTCGTTTTTGGCCGAATCTTGGTTGATTGGCATTTCGAAAAACTCCAAAATTTCTTTGGGAAATTCTTCTTTTTCAAATTGAATGTTGACCTTATTTTTGAAAGATGGCGTGGGAATTTTCTGAGTTTTGTGACTTTTCTCAGGCTCTTTCAAATTTTTCTTCTGTTGAGGGGAATTGGTTTGCTTTTTAACTAAATCGATTGACTCCTCGACTTTGTACTCAGATGGAAGGAGCTTACAAAGGATGAAATTCTTAATCGATTTATAGTTGTAGTGCTTGGCTTTGATTGCAAGAATGAAGTAACTTTTTGCTTTGCCATCCAACTTGGATTTGAGAGCAAAAATTTTCTTTTTCTCCGACCACTCTTCTAGAGCGAGATCAAATTTTTTGAAAAATTTTCTTATCCCGAAATCTCCTTCGGTTCCGTCTAGATCTGGAATGGTATCCAAAAGTAATTTTTCGATGTCAGCTTGTGATGTGTCTTCGAAGAAATAAGAATTTTGTTCAATCGGATGAATCGATTGCGGTGGCACGAAGGGGTATGGGTAGTGAATCATTTGTTGAGGGAAGCCATAATTTGGATGACAAGAGAAATTTGGAAATCCGTAGAATTGATTATAAGAATGCCCTAATTGTGATTCGATTGGAGTGTTCATTGGAATGTAATTTGCATAGTGTTGATGATGGGAGAAATATTGATTAGAATTTTGGTCCGCTTCCATTTTTTTTGACGACAATTCAAATCCTATCCACCGAGGCTAGAATTTGACACGCAGAAAATTCAATCAACCCACCGAGGGAAAACTGAATAAGATTTCTTTTGTAAAAAAAATCTCAAAAAAAAGTTGTCAATCCGAAAACTATCCCACCGAGGAATAACTTTCAAACAAATTTTGTTGTTGGTCTATCCAAAGACCAGTTTCCAAACAAATCCAAAAAAACTTGGTCCACCGAGGGCCAATTGAAGAACAAAAAATAAGTCAATTCGTAAATAAATTTTCTTCTTTTCACACAAAGAACAACCTCTTCCTCAGGAGCGCTACGTAGTAAACAAAATAAACTCTGCTCTTCTTCTTTTCTTTAATCAATTTAGACACAAATACAAAATATGAACCTTTTTACTTTTCTTTTCAAAATAACAAAAATAATATAAAGAAGGAACGAACATGTGGGAGAGAAATGGGGTTTACATTAAAAGAGGGGAGAGAATAATTGGATGGGGTCAAAATATGGGGAGAGAACGAAAGAAAAACAAATGCTATTTCTTTTTAGCATCACACTCAAAATTCTATAAATTTACTTTTAAACGCTTATGTCATGTATAAAATCTCCCTTTATACGCGGCTTTGCCCCTAATTGTAATGGAAAACTGTAATAGACTAATCTAAAAAATAATATCCTATCAATTTTCTTTAAAGAATATTGAAAACAATTTGATTGAAGATGTTTTAATGCGGAAGAAACGTACAGCTCGAAATAATGTACTCAAAGAAATATTTAGCTGTTTTTCATGTTGTAAGTTTTCTATACTTTTTGATTTAAAAGCTTATAAAGCATTAAATTAATTTTATTTATTATAAAATTTAATTTTAAATAATCATAAAATATAATTTATAACTATGTAAATTTAGGTGGTTCAAGTCAAAAAAACAAAGGCAAGGAATTATAAAAGATTTAAAAAATCATTGGGCTGGTGTTTCTATTTTTAGTACTGCGGTCATATTTTTTAATTAAATATAGTCTCGAAGATAGAAAGAATGCTTTGTGCTCACTAAGGTTGGCGGTTCCTGGGAAATCTTCGGTTATCCGGAACCGGAACCGATAACCGAACCGAAAATTTCTGGTTATCCGGTCTTTTTTCGGTTCCGGATAACCGGAACCGCCAACCTTTGTGCTCAGTTCTAATTTTTCAAATAAATTAAAAATATATAATTATTTTCTAATTTAATTTCTATAATAATTAAGTCTAATTTTTCTAAATAACTTATGAATTAAAGGAGATAAAGACATTGAGAAAATAATAAGAGATTTACAATCTAATGATCCTCAAGTAAAATTGAAAGCAATTAACAATCTTGATCCAAAAACAACGAAAGAACTTAGAGCCCGTGGTTATTTGGGCAAAACACAAGGATATCAAACGCGCAATAATGATCAAGCCTTTCAAAATCAGTTAGCTCAAGCAATTGCAATGTCCCTTGAAGAAAAAAAAGATCAATCGATTCCACAAAATCTTCCGGGAGTAGCATTCCGAGGCACAAAAAAATAGATTTTATAAAATATACAATTTTTAATTTATTAAGAACCCTCAAGTGATTTCCCACCGCAGGAAATTCAACCTCTAGATCAGCATCCTGAAGAAGTTTGGAAGGGAAAAGGGATCGCCGAAGACAAAATGACAACACCAACAAAAAGCTCTACTGACAGTGACATAGGCACTAGTGAATATTGGGCGGAAGAATACGGTCGTTACCAATACTAGAGAGGAAATGAAGAGGATATATATATAGTATACATGTGGAAAGATTTCAATATAAGACACATATCATTTGACTCCACGAGCTGAGTCGAGACGGTACCAAGCTTTTTTTCCGGAGATGCCTGTGGACCGAGATATAGTTCCCCGAAGATCGAAAAACTATATTTGTTTGCCCATACCGAAAAACTACCTTCGTTTTTAGGGGCATATATCGCGGTTCAATCAAGTCGGATTTCGTTGATTTTGGTGTCATTCGACTCAGTTCGAGGAGTTCTTTCGAATGAGCTATCATTCGAAAAATAGAAATTTTCACCCCAAAATTCTGCTTACTCACCAAATAGTTTTTCGATATTCGGTGACTTATATCTCGGTCCACAGGCATCTCCGGAAAAAAGAATGGAAACGTTCGACGCAGCTCGTCGAGACGAATCGAGTGGTATGTGTCTTATATCGAAACCTTTCCACCGGTATACTATACTACAACCAATGAAAATTTAAAAAAAGTTGTTTTTGAAAGTTGTCAAGAACGTTAAACTAAAATTATTTTCCTAGTTCACTAAATCCTCTTAGAATGCATTTTTATTTTCCCTATTTTCTCTTTTCTTCGGTTATTTTTTAAAATTCTTTTTAAACAACACTTTAAGATTATTCCCTCAAAAACTTTTTAAATGTAACCTCTCCACAGATTTATTTCAATTTTAAATTTACAAACTGTGTTTTCTTATATTCTGTCTTTTTTAACTAGATTGGATTATAAAGATTGTTAGTTATAAATATAAAATAGTACTAGAACAGAGATAATCTGAGGCTCTCTAAGGTTGAAGAATTTATTAGATATATTCATTTTGCTTCATGTTTTACACATTTGATACATGAGTTATAGGCTCTATCTTAGGACATGCGTCCTATGAACTTTTATGCTCCCATGAAAGTATATGCGTTTCATCAACAAAAAATTGGATTTTTCTTGGTGTTGCAAAGTTGAGGTATGGTTCCAAAGCATTTCTCCATGTTCGTGACCTACGCCCATTGATCTGGGATCGTTCCTTACCCTATCCCTCGAAATTTCTCAAAGTTATAGCCAATTTTTACAAATTTCAGGAAAACGATTTTAAATTTCAGAAATTTCGAGGAAGGGTAAGGAACGGTCCCAGATCCAGTGGACGTAGATCCCGAACATGAAAAAATGTTTTGGACCCATACTCCTACTTTCACCAAGAAAAATCCAATTTTTTAATAATAGGACTCATATACTTTCATAAGACGCATAAAAGTTCATAAGACGCATGTCCTAAGATAAAGCCGAGTTATATGTATTAGGGAAGCCAGCTGGAAGCCTTGTTCAAGTTAAGTTGTAACCCACACACCCACTTTTTATTCCTTTGAAGTAGTTAAGGGAATCTTTCCGCTACCGAAATAGTTATTGGGTGGGGTGGAAAGGCGGTTAACCTTGGCATTTTCTTGTTGAAGAAAATGTGCTGAGAATGCAGAATGATCAAAGGGAAAGGTGGGACAGTTTCCCGTTCCCACTACAAAATCTCTCTATACAGGGTGACACAAAAGTTACGGGCACCAAAACAGCACGCAATTGAAAAAAACATTAATGCTTTAAATTAAAATTTAAATTAAATTAAAATTAATTGTTTAAACGGATATCCGCCAACTCTAAATACAGCAATTATTAAATGTTTATTTCTCTATTGTACGATTTAATTCAAAATCGTTTGAATTTTCCGATGTGACTATTCAACGATTCTATAATGCAATCCCCCTCTCCCCCCCCTTCCCACACTCCCCTCAGAAAAGATGCTGGCAGGAGACAAAAAAAGAGCAGTCGCTAAGAAAAGAGCAGTCTCTAAGAGATATGAGAAGGGCAGTCGATATAGATGCACGCATTATTGCATGGCCCTATGTCTTATTGACATTAAGAGGAAATCTCTAACAGTCTAATCTATATTATATTTTTTATTCAAATCTTTAGAGGTAAGTGAAGAGGGTCTTGTGAGACGTGTCTTATAGTGTATAGTGAGGGACTTATGTTTAAATGCCCAAGCAAATAGGTGTTTAACATTCACTTTCGACTGATTCTTTAATTTTTATAATCGTTTTTCTCTCATAATTTTCGTTTTAAAATTTCCTTTAAAAAATTATATTGAAGCAAGCAAAATTTTTCTTAAATTTAATGCCCAAAGAAGTTGCTGGGATCTCGTTCTCTTCATACAAACTAAGGTTTCCTGTCTTATTTTTCGGTAAATGACTCTCAAGTTACAACCGTTTCATCCATCCATTATAAACTTTCCTTTTCAAACTTTTAGAATGTTCGATCAGTCACTCTTGTCGCCCCTAGGCTCGGCCAACCGTCAACGCCTACACTTTATTTATCTTGCAAATATGCACCTCAATCAAATGTTGACATTAATATTTCCTTATTTATAGTTTCTATTATGTACGATTTTACTCAAAATCATTTGAATTTTTCCTTAAATTTTTCTTGCCAATGCCCCTCTTTTAAGCAGTCTGACGCTGACATTTAGTGATAATTCAATTTTTTAACAGATGAAACTGTCAACTTGTTTTATTTTTCTATTTTTAATTTGTATTTTATTTGATTTAATTTTTTGTTGGAAATCTAGCAAAAGCAAAGGCGGAAAAAATGGCAAAAACCAAAAGGCAACCAAATGTGTCGCAAGTCAGTTGTGTAAGAAATTTTGTGGACAAGGAAGTATAGCGGTGGGAAATCAGGAAAAGAAAGAAACTGGACTTGGAAATGAGGTAAAAGTTCAGCATATGTTTCGTTTAAGGATAAATTTAACAAAAGTAACAGCTATACCAAAAATAAACTTTAAAAATATTAATTAATGGGACGATTTATTAACTTTGGGAAGTATATACTTGGAATAAATTATTCTTTGAAATGACTCTTGAATGCTTATGTCATGCATAAAATCTCCCTTTATACTTTGCTATGCCCCTAATTGTAATAGAAAACTGTAATAGACTAATCTTAAAAATAAATTCCTATTACAGTCACGGAAAATGATAGGAGCAAAGGCTGTTAGATTAGTTTTTAGCGATTATTTATTTTGGATTAACTCTTAGAAAAAAAAAGTTTCAACACAAAAATTGTAGAAAGTTAAATGCTCTATAAAATGAGTACATATAAATATCAAGGTAATTTAACGATAAAATTTTTACTAAAAATTTTTTAACGAATACTACTCTATTTTTGGGGTGAAAAAAGAATAGGA